ACTGTTGGATAGCCGTGAGACCACCCGTTTCGGGGTCCTGCGTCACCCAATCTCTATTTTAATTGAGACTAATACTACAGATCGCTCTAGTATTTGTCGAATCTATCCTGCGTGCATTGAACCGTGCAAAAATTTAGACCAGATATAGGGTTTTACATCATTACTTTCAGAGGACACCTTCCAGTCGAGGTGATTCTGCTATCGAGCTCCAATCGTCGCATTATATCCTTCTGCTGTCTTCACTGCGTACTAGCCTCGGTATTTGTGTATCTCGTCTACGTACGGGATATGGGTACGTAGTATAATAACGGTATATCGATTGAATAGCACTTAATAAGTATGGCCTCTTCAGCTTTCAAGTATTTTCGGGAGATTATATCGTACTACAGTTCCTAAAAAAGGCCCCTGCAAAAATTGAAATCTCTTTCAGGAGTAATTTTTGGCTCATCTTTGGCAAACCATCCAGTTACCAATGCTCATTCTATGCAGTTTTGAGTGAACATTACACGATTTCCACTACTCACTCTCAAAGGTCAAACGAGGACGTTGAAGAAAAACAGTAGTTGCTGTAGGTGGTATCCGTAATTGGAGTGCACCTTTGTATACCAGAACGGGACCACATTCGAACGTTCGGTTCGCCCGCTTGCACAGCAAACACAAAAACAATGCGTTGCATTTCGCATGGATCGTCGACACCATTTGATACGAGATGTGGGCGCTCAGTTCGACCAGTAATTCGTCTTGTTCAGGTTCATTCTCCAATTTGCGCGTCGAGCCCCATATCTTCGCTGTTTACGACCTATTATGCGGCTGAGTACCATCCTGCTGGCTATTACAGTCGCTGCTCTCGCTAGTGCGATCGGTGCTGCAACGACCAACCTCTCCAAGACCGCTTCCATCAAGCTTGAATTCTCGTCTGTTGCCGCTCACGCCAATATCAACACCCAGCGACGTTTGAGAAAGCATGATAGCCAACTCGATCAACACACAGAAAGCGAAGAGAGAGCAGGCATTAGTACGTGGCTGTCTGAGAATATGTCTAAACTTAAGACCTTTTTCAACAACGTTGACGAGATGGACGACAAGGCAGCGCAGATTCTTAAGGGTAAAACCCCAGAAGAAGCGGAGGTAATCTACACCAAACATATCGACAAGATATTGCCCCTGCTTCAAGGGATGGACAGAAAAGGAATCACTCCGGAAAATCTAGCAAAACAACCCCAGTTTAAGGAACTGGGAAATGAGGAGGCTAAATACCTGAAGCAGTTTTTCGATGTGTATTGGAAGACTTTCAAAAATGGCTGAAAGGCTCATCCAAGATCCTGAAAGGAAAGCACGAGCGAAGAATGAGAATGAAACGTAGCTAGACATACCAGTGGAACAGGTGCTATCGTGTAATATGGTTGTGAACATGAAATGTGCACTGTGCAGCACTTGTTCTTACCGGTAATCTTAAAACTAGTGTCTGGCTCAAACTGGGATTTTTCCCGATAAACCTTCCTGTCCAGCGTACCAACAGACTGGGACCAGGCAGCTCTTTGGCATGAGGATGACAACATAGTTGGCAGTGGTTAAATACGAATTAATGAGAAACATACTAGTAGTAGTTTTTGTACACAAATACGAGCTAGTAAGTGAGCCCCCATCACTTAGCTATCACATATACAACTTTGCGGTTTGAGGCCGAGTCTTCATACTACCTACGTCTCCAAAGCCCAGGTATGTAGAGAGGTGTCTCAACAATACGGTTTGTTTTTGCGACCACTTCACGTGCCTAGTATGTCGATAATCACATTTTTTGGGGATAATATTATTTTGAGAACACAAACCGAGGCCGAATCCGATAAGATCAAAGTGACACCATGATGACTAGGAGTACTTTGACGCAGAAATATTGATTGCAGCAGCGTCTGTAAAACAGTGATCAAGCCGCTGTTTTTATCGTATATTTCCACTGGACCACACTTAAGACTAATAACTCCCATGATGATAACTTGTAATCGTTGTTCATTAAAATAGAAACCGTGGGAGTTAAATAGCGCATTGCTCTGACATAAGCGAACATGGTGAAACGGCCGATGAATTCATATTGCTGTTTGTTCGTAGGCAAGACCAAATTAACGATATAACCCGCAGTAACCATTGTGTTCAGGTGAAATATCGAGGGCATTTCTTCCATCCATTTTGGGATCAAGAGCCACAGACGAGCTATGGTGCCGCTTATCAAAGGGAAGTTACCACGGAAACTCCACCAAAGGGATCGGCGGGTCTAAGTTGAAGAATTGGCTCGTGCTCTCACGGTTTAGCTATACTGGCCATGACCATCACGCTGTCCTCGGGCTTCAGCGTGGTCTTTCCCTGGGTCACATCGGTGTCCATGTATCCAGGGTGCACCAACACGATAACGATGCCGCTTGGCTGCAGGTCGAACGCTAGAGACCGAGTGACCATGATAAGCGCTGCCTTGACGCATAGGTGTAACCGGCCTGCTTGAAGAAGCCCGTGGTCGCAGTTGTGTAGCTGCCAATACTTCCGAGGTTTGACGAGAGCTGCACAACGGAGGCGCCGCCGTTGGTTTTCGATGAAAGCTGCAAATTGGGCAGCAACGGACGCGTAACGACGGATAGCCCGGCGGCATTCACTTCGAACTGGTTAATGAGCACGTCCTTCGTGCGAGTCTCGAAATTGCTGGGGATACCAATACCGGCGTTGTTGATGAGCATGTCGATCGCTTGTCCCTCCAGTTGACGAGTTGCCTCGAGGATGGAGGTCCTGTCACTTGTATCTATAACGACGATCTTGAAAGGAGCAAGCGATTTCAGTTGCACAATGTACAGGTAAGAGAAAGGCTGAGTAAGGGCTTCCATCTTGTATTCACTATCCCAAAACAACGTTAAATGCTTTCCCCGTGTTACTGTTGGCACGTGCCGCACCGATGACGTTCCAACCAGCCTTGACATAATGCAAAGTGGAAGCCAAGGTGTAGCTACCGTGGGTAGAGTGAGGGGGTGGTTTTGTAGCAAGCTGGTAAAGATGGTAGTGCTTGAAAAGTGGGGCGGTTTGGCAACACACACGAAATCTCAGCAACAGGCAGTTGCGGGCGTGATTCCGCTCGTCTCTGGGGCTCTCGCGGGTGAAAGTGTCGCATGGCAAAAGCACAAGGCTGTGGCAACGCAAAATAACTGCGGCCAGAACAATCAATTACAATGCATTGGTACTGTCCGTACTAACCGGTTCCATACCGTAAATAATATTCCGCCCAGAAGGATAGGGATGTGTCCTGGGATGCAAATTTGTTTTGGTATTGTTGCCGGTATGTAACGACAGTACCAACGCATACGATTTATCCGGTTCTATACATAACGGCCACACAATTCCGTTATTTGTTATGGCGAAGGGCAAGAAAAGTTTTTCCGCACTTTTATTTCAACGTACCCTTAATTGAGTACTTCATCCCCTCAGACCAGGGACATGTGAACTGTAGTTAACTTAAAGTTTGTATACTCTTGGAAGCCTGCTTCCTCAGCGCAAGGTTGCTGTGTGACCCCGTCACAAGGAAGATATGCAACTATATAATGATTGTGATGGTCCGTGTTGAAATCACGTTACTTGAAGCGGCCCCTAATTGACAGGACCATCAATCTTGGTAGGCTTTTTTAATCGTATCTATTGGGTTTGAAGTATTGGTTACATGTTTCAGAAAATAGCCAGAAAAATCGATCACATGGACAGCTTTTAAAGACACACTGGTGTTATTTTCCTTGTCCTAGAAAAAAAGATACATGTAAAACTAGAAAAGAGTGTTTGGACCGCCCTCAAATTGGCCTTTTCACCTTAGTTACCCTTTAAAAGCAAATCCCATATATTGTGAATTCCGAGTATATTTGGAAATCTCGATCGATTTGTGAAATCGGCAACTCAATCGACAGAGCGCTCTGATTGGTCACTTAGGATTGCAGTTTGAAGTGGGTCTTCGCTTACTTTTCATCGGAGAACCTCCGTGGCCGCGCCGGTGAAGTTCATTGCACCACTGGTGGATGCCCCTTTTGCAGCAGCCTTCCTTGCAGTCCTGGATCTCCACGGACCCTCGTACACTTCGGTACTATTGTCAAACTTGTGTTATTGAGGCTGATAGAAACGTCAAAGATTTGCTAAGCCACGTTTGATATTGTTTTGTAAGATGGAGGCTGCAGCTACTCGGCAACATGCCAGTCCCAACACAGTTTTCCACTGCTTGTACGGCTATTACTATCTTGGCTATTCCAGGAAGGAACTGGCATACATTTACAACAAAACACAGCAGACAATAGGCAACTGGATTCGTGTATATGAAGATACGGGGACCTACCAACGCGCTACGTCAAAGACAGACCGGAAGTTTTCAGCAGAACAACGCTCATGGCTTCGTGTGTTTTTTGAGCAGAGACCATTAGCATATCTGGACGAGGCACAAACTGCATTTCGCTTGAACTTTCAGCTCATTATTTCGAAGACATCTGTGTGGAGAATTATTCACGATTTTGGGCTAACTTGGAAAGTGCTGGAGCGCCGAGCCATTCATATCAAAGAGCAAGACATCTTTCGGTTTGTGGAGGAGCTGAGCCACATCAACTGGACCCACCACAATGTTGTTTTTCTGGACGAAGTTTCATTCGATAACAGGGGTATGATGAGAAAGAGAGGCTACGCACTTCGAGGCCAAAAGGTGGCCATTCGGGGAGGGTTCCAGCGAAAACCCCGAGTCTCGTTGCTTGCGTTCATTGGCATTAATGGCATTATTGACTAATATGACGCCGTAGGAACATTTGACCGATTGGAGTTTGTTCGATGTTGTCAAGATTTTGCATACTCCAAGCGCGCCAGTGTTCGACCCTACCCCAGAACAAATTCTGTTTGGATTTTGGATGGTGCATCCATACATCGGCACCCTGAAATCGTGCATTTCCTTAGAAGTATCGGGATTGTACCGATATTTCTACCAGCTTATTGCCCATTCTTTAATCCTATCGAATTTCTCTTTGGTTACGCCAAGAAAGCTTTTCAGCGCTACTACGTGGAGTCCAGCAATCGTGACTTGATGCCGTTTATTGTTGACACATTTCGACGCTTTCAGAATTTTAACATGGCACGTGTGTTTGAACACTGCGGCTGGATGGTTGATGGAACATTCAATCCTGTGGGGCCGTTATCAACAGAGTCACGTGCAGTTCCAGATACATGGAAGGAAGTGTCAGAGGAGGAACAGGAATTGGACGAGGATACTTTAGGCTTTCGTACGCTTAGTTAAGATAGTAAAACAAATGAATGATTAGCAAGCTCGCTAATTCTTTCTGGTCTTCTTCCTGCTGCTGTATTATTGATGTTCGAAATCTTCAAGGTTTTCCATGTTCTGCAGCGGATCAACCAACTCTTCAATGGCTGGTAGAGGCATATAGTGGAGGAGCGACTCAATTTGGGCCTTGCGAGACTGCAACATCGTCTCAAAACTCTCGAGTCGGTGACCATATGCCTCCCAGTCGCGACGTAGCTCCATTGATCCAGCGATAGATGCGTTCACACAATCGAGAGCGATTTGAGTCGAGTGGTTAAGATCATCGAGATGTTCTTGGATGCGAGAATGAGCAGCCGATAAGAGTCGCAAAACACGTAAAGGTGGTGGTGCACGTTTCTTATCCTCCCATGCGGTGCGATCCTGACTGCGAACCACCTCAGTCGCCCACATACGCCACACCACAGCTTCGCCAGTGTATGTGGCCCCCCAAAGGTCCTGTAGGCGGCCCACAACCTCACGAAGCGTGACTTCAGCAGCCGCGCCGGCCCTGTCAGTCTCTGCTGGGAGAATACAGTCCTTCTGAAAAGCTTGGCGATCTTGTTTTCTCCCAAGACCGACACCATAATCGTAGATTAGAAGCGTGACGGTCTTGTCATGCATTGATTGAAGCCAAGCGTTCCAGTCTTCGTCGGATTTTGAGCTGTCGATGATGTGTTTCTTCACTTTGAACACCATGAACTTGGACCAAGAATCGATAGCAGCTGGCTCGACAGCCCAAGCTCCGTCGGACGTCACTGCTCTCCCTTTAACATGGAAGCTGAATTGATCCCAAATCTTCTCCAGAATATCCTGAAACGAAGTTCCGCCAGCCACGAAGGGGTCAAGGGAGTCACCAGAGCTGTCTCGCTCTCCTACCGTCGCCTTCACGATGGGCTGCATGACCAAGCGGTAAATGTGAGAGGTTGCTGGTTGATACACATCACTTGACGCTGGACTACGGCGCCGTTCTGGGTATGGGGATGTTCGCACTCGCTCCTGGGGTGTTTGCATTGGCGATATCGTCGACACAGAATGAGTAGCTTCCTCTCATCTGGCATTTTTTAATGTTCTTCGGTAGTGGTGCGATTAATCGTGCGATTAGGCTTGATCGATTCAATCAATCGGCCCTGAAAATTTTGAGTAGAACCCACAATATTTGTATACTATAGTTTACTTAACCCTTGAAACGCCGTATACTGTATTTTACGGAATAAGCAGCATTACAGGTAAGCATATTGGAGGAGCTTTGAAGCGCATGCTATCGCCGCACATGAAAGTTTGTATGGGAAATGATTTGAAAAAATGATCGTGATGGATCTGTGCAGGGGTGATAGACGGGGATTCCACTTGATGTATAGATAAGACAGTATAAATCAATGAGAAGTTTGAAAATTATATTTGCAACTACTGATCCGCAAACATCCACCTCCCAACGCTCTCTCAGCCATTCGTGATTTCCCGCCTTGAGCACCAGATTGACTACGATGAATGCACCTGACGAGAAGGCGTGCAAGATGTTGTCGTATGAGCTGAATAAGTCAGAATGGGACTCGCGAAGGCCCAATAGCCTGGAGCTGAGGCACACGTACCAAATCCCGGCGTGAAGGGGTGCCTTGACAATTGGAAGCGTGGTGAAGAATATTGGTAAGCTCGCCTGCCGGCTCGCAGTGGCCGGGGAACCCGGTATAGATCCTTTGTATTCTTTGGCTGGCTTATTTTGATGATTAGGTGTTATGTACTTCTTTAAAGTGAGTATTCTGCAAGAAATATACACAATAATACTGTAATTACCTTAAAGATCAGTGATATTATCGGACAATACGGAATTCCTGCAATTGATCAGAATGCTCCATTATCAGAGGATTTGTCTTACATCTACTTAGTCTAACTAATATTTATTGACTGATAAGTAACGCTAAGAGCATCTCCAACAGAGGCCCCAAAATTTGGTTGAGACCTCAAACAAGAATAAATTACTAGTCACTTCCGTATGTTATTTGGGGTCTAGTTGGTTTGGGCATCAAATTCTGCATATTTGAGGTCAAGATTTGAGGTCTTAATTCTGAAGTAACATTCATTTTGAGGTTTAGGATGGGGTCCCCGCGTTGGAAATGCTCTAAACATTTCATAATACGTACATTTGAGCAGATTTGACCTCTATCCGTGATATGATTGGCTACAATTAAATGATTTTGTAAGGCGATTGTACCTAATCCGTTGGTTGCAGTAATTCCGTGTTGTTTAGTAATATTGTGAATTCTGTCCAAATTTGCCAGTTCAGCTCTATTTGAGCCCTGAGCCAACGTCGACGACGTACAAAATCCCAACTAGTAACGTAATGGCCCGAGAGCTAAACAGCTGTTTTTTGCCACAAGTCAAAATCTTATCTCGTACTTAAGAGGAACTCTGTAAAGGACACAGTATTGGCTGGACGATTTGTGGAGCCATGTGGGTCCGATCATTGAAAAAACCGTCCCAGGAAATTTCAAACAAACCGCCCAATATGAAATGGACTCTGTCCAGGACATTACTGTGATGGCATTAGTTAAACTCAGGTAGTCCAATAGGGTGTGGTTTGGGCTACAGTAGGTTGAGTTTAGTTTTAGTCGCTTAACTACGATTCAGGGTCTGCAGCACCTGTCGTTCTAAGATTTTCGTCACTACTCATTTGCTGGGTCCAATGAGAGGCTTGACCATCAACTGAGTTGAACATGAACTTGCACACGAAGATGATCGTTCAGAACGCTCCGTAGCAGAAGAAATCTCCCCAGCTCTGGCCAATCGTACAGACCGTCTAGCAAGCTCAGTAAGGCCGACCTTCAAATAAGTTCATGGGGCTTCCATTGGAAGAACATTTGAACGATCGATACGATGATGATCGGAGCCATCGTAAGCAAGTCGCTCGACCCCACAGACTTGCACGACGCAGCATTGACGGCCGTTAAGAGACTGAATACCCATACGGCATATAAAGGCGGCTGAAGATGCAAGTGCCGTCAATCCACACGTCTAGCACTACCTTGAGAGCCGCTGATCGTCATGAAAATGGAGTAAAAGATGTGGTTACGCGTGTCCTTAATGTCCGACGTGAAAACGTTCGAGTAGAACTTGAACCCGTCGGTGTCGTCCAGCTTGGAGCGGTAGGCTGATGGTCATCTCTTATGTGATGACCACAAGTATGCACAGCATGACGAAAAGGAAGAAATAGAGGCGGAAGAACGCCAGAATGCTCCTTGAACGTCTTGTAGTCCCGCGCATTGATGGCTTCTGCTACATTGAACTCGTCGAAGTGGAGGCACGACTCTCTACAGAAGAACTCGTTCACGTCATCGTAGTTGATCACGTTCTTGTGGTCCACGCCCGCTCCGTTCTTTTTGCGGGTGTATCTTAGTCACAACGTTATAAAGCGGACGTACGTCTTAGAAACGTTCCTTCCGGTGTATTGAGCATTTTTTTCTAAACCATCCAATCCAACTTTGCAGCCACCTTGTGGCAAAGGGCGGAAGACGTCCAGCTGAGCGTAGGATCATTAACCTCCGTTGCATACCTCGTCAACTACTCGCTTTCGCCTTCACACTTTCGAATGAGTGACCGACGGTACTCCTTTCATGATCGGGTTTTGCAGGTATAAGGGACTGCTTTCTTAAAATATCTATATGACTGAATGTATTTAAAAGTGAGCTTAGCTTGGTTTCTAATAAAAGCTAGAAGTAACCTATAGTAAAACGATGTAGATATGCACTGATTGGCTCTTAGAGCCTCTGATATCATGTACCAGGTAATACAAGAGTGATAGGTCACTCCTTATGTAAATAGGGTACACTTGGGTTGGTACCCCGTTACATTCCTGATGGCTTCAGCACACGGATCATGATTCAAATGTAGACTGAGGAGTCAATATCCGCCGTTACACGTAGTGA